AACTTCATGTGACACGAATTTCGAATTTATTTTCACATATAGAAAAGCAGCCTCAGGGAAATGTCACACGACTATTACTAAAATCCTACTACTACCAAAAAATCCGTTGTCCGTTGAAACGCGATTTAAATATAAATCCGTTGAAACGAGAATTTTTTAATTAATAAAATCAAGGGGCAAAACCAAAAATCCGTCAAAACAAAAATCCGTTGAAACGAGGGTTCGACTGTATGTAAATGATGATTAGAACAATAAGCAACAATAATAATGATTATAGTGGTGTTATTAAATAATAGTTAAAATAAAAGAGAAATTTATATAAACTATTGAATGATTAATAAAACCTTCATTAATATATTTTGTTCATAGATCTTGCTTGTCCTTAAAGCTTATTTCAATTACTCCTACACAAACTATTAAATAATTGATAAACGTTCATTAGAATATTTTGCAATTGCATATTTCTTTGATTAATGCAATAGTCTATTTATTAGGTTTAAAATAAATGAACTTAGCTGTTCTTTGTATTTTTTTTAATAATAGATAATTCTCTTCCTGTTCATCTGGAAAATTCACGTGACAAAGATTTGCAACATAAGGGAAATTTTTCAAATTTTTATTTTGTTTCAATTTGTCTATTTTTATTAACTTTTTTGTGTGTAACACCATTTTAAGGCTAAACATAGTAAATTCAGCAAACTTGTGCAACTTTGAAGCTCAAAATTTTCCACAACATGACATATCAATGAGATGAAATCGTGATTTTGCAGAGGAAGGTCTTGACTTCAAATACATGATTTATTTTGGGGTGTTGCATTTCCATTTTTGGAGAATTTGAAAATCTACATGACCAATAAAAAGTTGTGGGACTAAGTGACTTGCATCATATTACATCAACTTTTTGTACCAATTGATTTATCACTGTTTGTCAATTCTTGATGAATTGTGTGAACCAAAGATTGTTCCTGGTGCAGACACAATTGATTCCACAGAATTCCTTCTTTTTTTCCTCAGAGTGAGGTGTTCAGCAACTTCAGTTATTCTAAATGGATTAAAAAAAAACAACAGTTACAATACCACAATTTTTTGAATTTTAACTAGAGTGACAAGTTGCAATGATTGCACTCACCATATTTTTATAATAACTAGAGTGACAACAAGTGTATACATGATATGGTAATTAGCTAATTACCGTAAATATGTAATTAACATAATTAATTACCACTTTCACTCTTAAAAACATAATTATGTAATTAATTATGGGTAACAAAACTAATTACAGGTGACGAAATTAATTACTATTGTGAAAATTTTCTATGCAAACCGTTGTTAGCACTATACATAGGATGGTAATTGCATAATTACTGTAAGTACGTAATTATCGTAATTAATTACCATTTTCCTCTTTAAAAACATAATTACAAAATTAATTACTGTATTGCGGGTGATGAAATTAATTATGAATAACAACGAATTAATTATTGGAAATATCATAATACAAGTCACTCCCATTATAACAACACTCTCCGTACAAGCAAAAAATGTCAGTATGACGAGAATGTCATTATAACGAGAGTTCATATAGAAGTCATATGAGAATCATTATCATGTGATTTTGTAATTTTATTTTTATTATATATTTTATTTTTATTTCATTCATGTTTTATTAGGAAATTTAAAACTTACGCTGGATCAAAATTGACTAGCATTATACAGAAGTGTTATCAGAATTTTCCGATCTTGATCCTGGTGTAAGTTTTATTTCCTTATGTTTTTTCAGAAATGAGAATGATTTTGATTGGTTCTCCCATTATACTGGCATGTTGTTATAACAGAATAAATTCTATAATTCTAAAAAAGTTGCCAAATTATGTCATTATACTAGTATAACGAGATAAATTATAGGTGTCATTTAATTTTGTCATTCGTAATTGATTTCATCACGCGTAATTGATTTCGTCACGCGTAATTGATTTCGTCACGCGTAATTGATTTCGTCACCCGTAATTGATTCGTCACCCGTAATTAATTTCGTAATTACGTATTACGTTTTTGGCAAAATAATTACCATCCCATGTATAGTTATAAAGCTCTGAACAAATCAATGAAATTCAAACCAATTTGACCTAATTTTTGATTTGAATCAGTTCAAACTGATTTGAATATATAATTTTGATTCAAACTTGATTTGAACTGATTTGAATATGCAATTTGATTCAAACTGATTCAAATCTATAGCAATCATTATCATTCATTACAGTATTAGTTATATTTATTACTTAGATTTAATGAATTTATCAATGAATTGTGCAACTGTAAATTGTATTACTTATAATATCATTATTATTTAGTGATGGTGGTCAAAACTACCTTACTAGTGGACCAAAATTGCCAAAATTAATTGGCCTAAACTTGGACAAAACCAATTTAATAATAGCTCAAATTGTATGAAATCATTTTTAAGTTTTATTTATTATAAAAATATTGGGCTACCATGGTATTGGGAAAAACTACCTTTTGTGTAATATAAATTTAATATGATGTTTACAAAAAAAATTTTAGGAATCCAGTTTGATTCAAATTGAATTGAATCAAGTCATGAATCAAATTGAACCAAATCCGAATTGGATCAATTCATTCAGAGCCTTAGCTAAAATGTCACAATGTACTCTTTAGTCAGTCTTTAACAAATGAAGTATTTGTTGATGATCATTTCATGAGACTATTGACAAAAGAAAAAGTATTAATGATTAATTTATTTTTATTTTGGAATGGAACAGCACTAATCATATAAAATTCACATGATTTTTAAAAGCAATAATTTTTTATTTTTTTCTTAATTCATATTTTTTAAAACTTTTAGAGCAATAGTAGACACAATTTTTTTATCAACCAAGATCTCATCATGACTATCTCCAAATTTGATTTCTTTCATTATTTTGCCTAAATTTGTTGAATTACCTGTTAAGTTGTTGTCTTTGATGAATTTGATGATATTTGATTCAATTTCTTCTTCAGATAATTTCTTTTTTGGCAAATAGGATTCTAAAATTTCTAATTCAATTTGTTCTTTGCGAACTAAGTCCAGTCTTTGTGCTTGTGAAAACTTTTCTATAGATTCATTATGTGCTTTAACAGATTTGTTTATAATTTTATAGATTTGTTGATTTGTAGGTGGTGATGTTGTTAATGAAGAAGGTTGTGACACTTTTTTTGAAACGTATGTAAGATCTGAAAGAATTGACTTTATTAAATGAATGGAAGGTGAAAAATGAGTCAGAAAAAAATGATGAAATTTATGAAATATGGATAGATGGAAATGATTGTTAATTCCACTTCACATTTACCTTGACAACATTTAATTTTAATTGATCTTTATTCTTCATAGCAGATTTAATGTCTGATCTTAAACGTAAATACAATTCAAGATCTTTGTTTTGTTCTACATATTTTTTTTTTGAATTTTTGAGAAAAAAAATTAAATTATAATAAATGAATAATTTCAATTAAATAATACCTTGTGAATTATTAGTATTCATAGAATAGCACTTCAAAAAATCATTATTTGTTGTTGATATAAATGAACTATCATTAAATTGTTTTATTTGTTGACATTTTGTTATTTTATATCCAATTTTTTCTATATATTTTTTCTTAAAAATTGAACTGGATAAATACATAATTATGTTAAAAAAAAACTTTTTTTGCAAGTCATATGATTTAGATGTGTGATTATCATATTTGAAAAAAGTTTTTTTTCATCATGCAAAGATTTATAATATCTAAATTTGATAAAAATTTAGGTAATTACTAATTTTTTAAAAATATGTATATGTATATAAACATATTGTACCAACAACATTCAACATTTATTTAACAAAATCTTTTATTAAATAGACAAATTTATTATAATAAATAATAATAAAAATACAATTTTAAATTTTAAAAGGCATCTTGCTACTGAATGGAATTATTTATTTCAAGATGTCCTAAACTCTGTTGACAATAAAAACCAAGAACATGAAATAAACAAAGTTGAAAATAAGAATATTGGTGGTAGTTTCTTAGAGAATCAATTTGATGATTCGATGGGTATTGATTTAAAATATAAAAAGAATACACAATTACCAACACAAAAAAAAAAAGCAATTAAAGAATCAGAACGTCAAAAGGCAAACAATGTTTATAATATTTCTAAAACTCTTTTTGGTTCCACTGCAGATGATAAAATGTTTAATTCCATTGAAACTTTGGAGAGAAACTTATTACATATGAAACAAATTGCAGAAGATACTTATATTATTAAAAAACCTGATAAAAAACTTTTAGAATGCATCATACACACTATTTCCTCTAATAAGTCACCAAATAATAAGGAATCTGAAAAAAATGCAGATTTGCTTTTACAGGAGATGGATGGATGTCATACAGTTCAGGAATTTATAAAATTCTTGGGAGCTAAACTTTTTAATTCATCAATTTTATCCAATTTTTCAAAAAATCATGTCTCAAATGAATTATATAAACAATTTCCAAGTAATTATTCTTTATTGATAAAAGAAGCAATTTGTAAAAGTCATTTAAAGTTTAATGATCCTTATTTGGCATTATCAGTATTTGAACAATCAAAACGATGTGGTATTGTATCATACATAATGGGTTGTAATGTTGATGTTTACAATGAATTATTGAGAATTAGATGGAAATATTGGAATGATTTAGTTGGTATTAAACGTTTATTAGATGAAATGAAATCTAATGGCATTTATGATAATGAAGAAACGAATGAACTTATTAACAAAATTCATTCTGAATCTTCAAAAATAAGTCAATTAGACAACAAGTTGGATTATGAATATTCTAGAAAAATCAAAAAGTTTGAATCAGAAAAGAAATTTAAAAAAATTTACAATATGTAATAATAACTTAAATGAATTTGTGCCATTATTCCTGATAAATAAATGTTATGTTATATAATAGTTAAGGATTGGAAGGAAGTATTATTTTTTTGATTGATTGATTGATTGAACAAAATATTTACAACTAAATGCCCCACCTGAACTATATACTATATTATCAGTATATCTAGAGGATTATTTGCAGTATTATTATAATCTTATGTTGAATGACTACATGACATGATTGTTTACCTTGAAGTAGATTGTAATAATGATTTTTGTGGTAGTGAAACAATAGGTGTAGGGATTGCTCACCTTTGGTTTAATCATTGAACAAAAAATTATAGGACTCAATTGCTTGAGGATCTTGAGCCTCTGTTATATTCACTTGTTATATATAGTATTGCTTTTTATTACTATTTAATCCTTTCCTTGAACATGAATACCCTTTGCCTTGAAATTGTAAATAAATAAATTTGATAAATTGCATCATCTGAATAATAATAATACCATATAAGACTATTCAGAAATGAAACTTTTAAGGAACCAACTTTGAAAAGGCCTCATATGTGAGAAAATTTGATCAGTATATTGCAAGTGTGCAATTAAAGCTCTGAACAGTTTGCTTTGGTTTGGTTTACAATCCAAAATTTTAAAGATCAAATTAATATGGGGCATACTGCAACAAAACCAGACAAAGTGAACATTTGCACTACTAAGTATTTCGAGGATCAAAATTTAGTCATTTGTAATGTGATCATAATCAACAGTTTTATAATGTCCCATTTGTTAAGTGATATATAGAGATACTCCTATATAAAAATAGTTAATATGAAACTCTCCAAGGACATATAATTGGTCCTCTGAGTTCAGAACACTGAATTCTGTTAGTTTATCAACAACATATTTTGATGCATAACATAGATTGTAAATGTTCTTTCTAAGGTAATGAAAGAAAAGGTCAACAATAACTTGCTTTAATATATGCAATATTAAATCCATGTCACTTATGATATACAATGATTCTGTAAGGTTTCAAGGAAGTGAGTTGTTGCTCTTTTGCTCAATGTTGTAAGTGATGTTGGCATTGGTAAAATATAGATATATATATGCATTTAAAAATTTTCTCTGTCTCTTCATTTAGTTTTGTAATGTCAACATAAATAGCACTTCCAACAACTTCTAAGAAACCAATCTCAAAAGATAATTGCATTAACATTGATTGTAACAATCAATTTGGATTCTTTGTTTGTATTGCCGAGTTTTGTTTTGTTGATTTTTGCTTAATTTGTTTTCAATTTCTCCTCTATGCAAAGAAAAAACCCTGATAGACAGAAGACTTAATAAAAGGAAATTTTTTCAACAAGAATGAATCTCAAACTCATGTCTCCACCCGAATTAGGTCCATGATATCATCAAAAACTTTGCAATTATTGTATTGATGAAATCTTCATGGTAAGAAAGTTCTGTTTGTTCATGATCCAATAACAAGTTAATAGGTGATCTGAAAAGAAATAAATTAAAAAACACAATATAAAATAAAAATAATAATGAATGTTTACAATCGTTTATAAATGTCTTGGATACATAATAGATCAAAGTATTCTTTATGTACAAAAATGCTTGTATATAGTGCCACAAGAATATCCTTGATGGCATCATCCAATGAAATTGTGTCAAATGCTGATTTGTTTTCAAAACGGGCTTGATACTTTTTTAAAGGAGGCATAAATCTTTTTTCCATTAATTTAGACAGATTTTCTTTATTTCACATGAAGACTCAAACTACAAGAAATTAAATAAAGCTGTTAAAAATTTTGGATGGAGGCTAAAATTACAAGAAAAAAAATATTTGATACTGAATTCCAGATCTTCTTTAAGAGGCTCTTTTCAGATTCTGTTAACTTATTAACAGGATCTGAGGCATCTCGTGCTGAAAGATTTACAACCCTATACTTAAAGCAGGGTTGGCAAATGTGTGGTCCATTAGGTCCATTAGTGTAACACTTTAACCATATTTAGTATTTTATTAATGGCAATGAACCAGTCAATTTGCCAAACCTGACTTAAATAGAGGACATTTGATACATTGTATCTTGCTACAAACTTCTTCCATCACATTCTGCGAATTTGAAAATATGACATAATCAGAGATCAGGTGAGATAAACTGCAACTTAAAGTTATGCAAGGTTCACTACCTCATGAGATTGTTGGATGTTTTTTGTGTAAGCATCTTTGTTATCAACATTTTCCATAATAACTTCTTTGTGATCAGGAATGGAATAATGATCCATCAAATTTTGTTCCTGTTATTATTTGTGTTATGTATACATCAGAAAATGTTATAAAAAAATATCATTGTGACCTGAATATTTCATAAATACAATTGCCTTTTGGTGTTCAGGAGTTCTTTGGAAATAGTCATCGATCCTAGTCCATTTTTGGACTTTATCATTAAAATTGCAGTTAATTAGAAACACAAAATAGTTTTAGTTAAAAAAACTATGTGTCTTTACTTTTTCTTGGTTAGTTCTCTTTGGCATAAATGCTACATTGAACACTCCACCATTTATGCTTCCATTTGTATTATTAATTGCACCATTGATTGTTGCCACACTTAAAGTTCAATGATCAATATAAACCCACATACATGAACATGTCTTTTCCCATTCTCTGGCCTTTTTTATCTGATTTGTCACCCTAAAACAATAATTTCTAAAATTCTTGAATATCATGCTTTCATCTAACTTTCATATCACTATCTAACTTTCATTTCAACATCAGACAATCCCAGAGATCATCTGGTCTGACAGTGTCAGTAGTCCCAGAGACTTTTAAACATCAGGCAATCCTAGTGCCCCAACACTGTCTTTGTGGCTCAACCCAGAGTCTTGAATGATAGTTATCCCAGAGATCCATACCACACCACTCATTCATTAAAAACTTTCAAACTTTCCTGTTTGTAATTGTCAAATAATTCCCAAGCCCTTGCACATCTTTGACCTTCATCTGTATCCGCAACTTTTTCAAGGCATATAAGGTATTTTTCTATTCTCCTAGAATAAGGTTCCAAGGAGAGATGGTTTTGGAGATTTTAATAATCACATTACTGAAATCCTTGGTACAGTGCAGATCATCTATAATCATCAATTGCTTATATATAGTAACAATTGGTCAACTTCAAAATACTAA